TCTTCTTGCCTCAACTTTTTGCATAGCCACATGAAACAATATCTTCCGTTTAAATCGACGTATTATGGCTTCTTTAAATATCTGCCAGGATTCGATCAACGTTGTCACATTGAGATCAAACCATCTTTTGGCATTTTTGACGAGTTTACTAGAAGCTGCTAAGAGTAACACATCATCCGAAACTGCATGGATTTGTGCAATTCTCTCTCCAGTCTGAATCCATATTTCTATCTTCTCTTCTTCTGTTCCGGCAAATTCAGGAATTTGAGTCGTCAACAATTTAACAGCGTGTGCGGTCGCTACTGACGAAATTGGCTGGCGACGTGTAATTGAACTATCGGGATCCGCACGTATAACATTGTCTTCACTTGTAATATTACGTATCCCATTTTGAGAGTTCTCACGAGACAAATTAGTTAACTCGACCATCTGCTGCATCATAGCTTGATTTTGCCGCTGCTGTTCCTGTTGGTTTCGAGCTTGTTCTCGTTGAAACTCTTGCTGAATAAGTGTTTGTTCTTGTTGGATACGCCTTTGCTCTTGCTTATCTTCTTGTTGGATACGCATTTGCTCTTGCTGAAATCGCATTTGCTCTTGCTGGAGACGCCTTTGTTCTTGCTTATCTTCCTGCTGGATACGCATTTGTTCTTGCTGGAGACGCCTTTGTTCTTGCTTATCTTCTTGCTGGATACGCATTTGTTGTGCCATCCAAGCACAGATTTGAGATAAATCGGATGATTCTGTCGGCGTCGTCGCTGCGACTGTTGATTGCATCGCCTTACTTTTAGTGGCGGCACGCGTTTCTCTTTTTTGTAGATCGGACGTGGCTTGTCTCTCCAAATAAGACATGATCATGTCTATACAGCGCGATGTATCGTTCGGAGGATTTAGCCCATATTTCTTGGCTTCATCCTGTAGCTCACTCACAGATAACTTTTCTAACTGCTGCCGATCCATATTTTCTTGAATACCGACGACTGATCTTCATAAACTGGCGGGAGACGCTCGAGAATATTCGAGACGTATCAAATGGCGGGAGACCGCTCGAGAATGTTCGACCGTGGTAAGATGGCGGTTGACCGTTGCACCCAAAATGGCGGGGAAACCGTTCGAGAACGTTCGAGACGTAATTTCACACACGCGAATATATGTTTCTTTGCAGCGTGGCAGACCGATATCACTGGTCGCCGATCCACAAATATCAATGTTTTTTAACGTCGTTACGACGAGACAACGTCTTTCACTAGATATTACGATAACGATAACGGTCGTTGACCCGAATATTTTCCACGGGATAACTGGCCGGAAATACCGCACCCGAATATCTATTACAGCCTTGCACGCTGTACTTTACTCGCTCGAGCAAAAGAATGAGGACAGAAGGAAAAAGGGAAATCGGTAGCAAGCCGGATCGTTCACGATAATGGCGGTACACGATGA